ATGATCATGCGTACAATTGAAACGAAGAAGCTGATGTGATCCCAAGGTTGTGACAGTATAATAGAATATTTTACAGGTATTTCTATCGGAGTTTGTGATCAGTGACTCGGAGCTCGAGGGAGAAAAGTAGCTGTCCGAGAAATTTCAAAACGAGGTAATAGAAAGTTTTTTTGGCAATGAATTGTTACTGAAATGGTTTGAATGAATTGATACCGTTTACCGAGGTATACCAGACCCGACTGGCGTAGTGGCTGAGGTAACTGCTGAGGCGCTGAGGGTTGGGTTTGTACGTATTTATGATCTTGTGACCTCGCAGCTGGGCTCCGCCTCTTCATAGCTCTTCAGTCGTTTCTCTCCCCACCCCCCTCTGCCCCATCCCTCTGCATAGTTTTACGGCCGTACTCCCCTCACGTCAACGTTTCTCAATCTCTCCTCAACTCCCATAACCGACCCCCCAAGATTTATCCCTCGTTAGACTTCCTGATTTGTAACGTTCTCAACGACAACAAACCTCATCTCAACTGCCCTATTATAATCCTTCCTTGACCCATTTCGATGGCAAACCACGGACCGATAAATGGCGTTAAGATTTCTCGTGCGTTCTTCTGCTTTTTAGATTTCGTTACCCGCAGCTAATCGAATCATTTGATTTGTCCTGTTTTCGCTCCACGGCTTCATCTATCATTTTCGTATCTCTCGACCACTTCTGCTCCTTTTTATCGGTCTGAATCTATTGATATCGCTTCAATCGGTTCATGTTCCAAATAGCCATCGACGACCCTCACAAGATCGTCAAGGTCGTAGCTACTGACGGCAAGTCGGGTGACACACGGGAGATTTCGTACAACAACTGCAAAGTCATCGGAAATGGTTCTTTCGGTGTCGTTTTTCAGGCAAAACTCGTTGATTCTCCAAAGGAAAATGAAGATATAGCCATCAAGAAAGTCTTGCAGGATAAGCGGTTCAAAGTTCGTCATGCTATTCCAGTTACTGTGGTACACGTTTTGATTCTATTCCATGCACTCTTTTCGGCAACAGAATCGTGAATTGCAGATAATGAGACTGGTTTCTCATCCGAATGTTGTGGACCTTCGAGCGTTCTTCTACTCTAACGGGGATAAGGCATGTCATTTTTCTCCCACTTCACTCATCCTCACAGCTTGTGTGGACTGATCTCTACATGCCATTTAGAAAGACGAGGTCTATCTCAATCTCATGCTGGAATATGTTCCGGAGACAGTCTATCGCGCCAGTCGCCATTATGCGAAGCTCAAACAACCCATGCCCATGTTACAAATCAAGCTATATATGTACCAGCTCCTACGATCTCTCGCATATATTCATTCTGTCGGTATTTGCCATCGGGACATCAAACCTCAGAATCTGCTGTTGAACCCGGCGACAGGGGTTCTTAAATTGTGTGACTTCGGTTCAGCCAAGATTCTTGTCGCTGGAGAACCGAATGTCAGCTACATTTGCTCGAGGTATTATCGTGCTCCCGAGCTCATTTTCGGTGCTACCAACTATACAACCAATATAGGTGGAGCTTTTTGTCACTACCGTTTCAAGGCTTTTCTGACGCTCTTTTTGCAGACATTTGGTCGACAGGATGTGTGATGGCGGAACTGATGCTAGGCCAGCCTCTTTTCCCTGGAGAGAGCGGCATCGATCAGCTGGTAGAGATTATCAAGGTTTTAGGAACCCCTTCCAGGGAACAAATCAAGACGATGAATCCTAACTATATGGAGCACAAATTCCCACAAATCAAACCTCATCCCTTCTCAAAAGTAAGTTTCCGCATCAGTTGACATGGTTTATCTGAACTCAGGTAATACTCTTTGTCAGGTTTTTCGACCACGGACTGCCCCTGAGGCTATAGATTTGGTGGCCAAATTGCTCGAGTATACTCCTGGAGCACGATTGTGTGCTATCGAGGCCATGGTTCATCCACTTTTCGATGAACTGCGGGCAGAAGGTGCCAGAATGCCCAATGGAAAGGAGTTCCCACCGCTATTTAACTTCACTCGCGAAGGTTAGTGCCTCAGTCTCTCGAATGTGTTTCGGACTTTGAATTTGTTTTTTGCTAGAATTGTCTGTGCGACCTGACCTTATTCGACGCCTCGTCCCACCACACTGTGAGGCTGAGCTGGGCTCGCGCAATATTGTGCTGGACAACTTTGTACCCATACCACTGGAGCAGATGAAGATAACGCTGGATTGAGTGCTGACCCTCGCTGGCGTGTAATATTCGGGATCCGTACTATATATATGTTGTGTGTGCGTGTGTGTTATGCGTGCGGTTTCATTCTACCACCCGTTTCGCTTCTTTCCTTCTCCGTATTACTTATATAACTCGAGAAATGAAGTTTATTGTAAGAATGCTGGGCAGGAACATTGCGCGAGGGGCGGCGTCGATTGATCATGTCGCCAGGACAATTCAATCACGACATGTTGCGTGACTCTGAGGTCGGCGTGCGCCCAAGTATTACCCAACATCGATATACTTACACTATATGCATCAGCTCGCAATTGGGTGATTCTATTCCACTTTACCTTCACCCTTATAATCATGTCCTCTCTCACCACGGCCCCGTCTGGGGGCTCCTACGTCTGCGATACTGTTCGTGCTCCGCGCCTCGCACCAGAAAGTACCAAACCTCTCCCCATCTACTTAAACCATCACACGACCGAAGAGGAGCTTGAGGAGGAACAAAATTCGTCTACTACGATGGTTCAAGAAACGGAAACAGAGCAACACTTGAAAGAAATGCCCTCAGTCCCGTTTCCCCCCTCTGGGAGAAAGCTTTGCGTTCGTCATCAACGGATGGCTGATGAGGGGACCAACCTCAAACTACAACAGGTACGTGTATTCATCATATTATGTCGGTCACAGGTGGTACTCACAAAATACTTTCACAACGACAGTCTTTGGACAGATTACCCGTTGGCGAAAGAGAGTCTGTCAGCACCATATGGTCTATCTTTTCCTCCTCCTCGCACCCCCGGCGGGCTCTTATCCTTCAAGGCCTCCTCACAATGTGTTGTTTCTCCCAGTTATCACTCCTCACAGAACAGCTCTCACACCTTATCCGAATTGACCCTTTCACTGTCTTTCCACGTGAAGTTTCGCTGAAAGTTCTTGGTTACCTCGACGCTATATCGTTATGTCGAGCATCTCAGGTCTCCAAGAAGTGGAAAAAACTTGCAGACGACGACATCTTATGGCGGGAGATCTGCGAACAACACATTGGAACAAAATGCCACAAATGCGGCTGGGGTTTACCTATACTCGAGAAGCAGCGAAAGTACCTTCAGTCCGCGTCTCCCTGTCCTTCACCAGATCTATCATCATTGAAGCGATCTTTGGAAGATGTGTCTGGAACGTTTACACCCCCATTGAAGCGTCAAAAGTCGGAAACCACTCCAAAATCCCCTGAAATCCCCTGTGCCGACTACTCTCCGTTCTCTGCAAACGAGTGGAAGGTTTCATCGTCAACCTCTATCTTGACAGCAGAGGTTCCGCCGAAGCATGATGCCACAAGACCTTGGAAGGATGTTTATAGCGAAAGGATGACGATAGAACGGAATTGGAGGCGTGGAAGATGTAAAGTTCGGACCCTAAAAGGACACAAGGATGGCGTGATGTGTCTACAGTATAGCGAAACATTAAGCCATCCCACCTTCCCTGTTCTGATTACAGGCTCTTATGACTCTACAGCGAAGGTGTGGAATCTGGAGACTGGTGTAGTATTGTACACGCTCGAAGGTCACACCCAGCCGATCAGGGCGTTGCAGTTTGATGACTGCAAGTTGATCACTGGAAGTATGGACTCAACACTAAAAGTCTGGGACTGGAGAAGGGGGAAATGTATTCGAACGTTGATGGGACATACTCAGGGTGTCGTCTGTCTCAACTTCGACTCAAACGTGTTGGCGAGTGGGAGCATTGATGCCTCGATAAAAGTATGGAATCTACGCACAGGGCACGCTTTCACGCTTCGTGGTCATCGCGATTGGGTCAATTCTGTGCAATTGTGGGACTCAAACTCTGGGACGGCCCCTGTCACGTCTTCTGCATCAGCATGCGACGCCCCCGGCAGCCCACAGATGGACCCAGGGAAAATGCTTTTCTCCGCCTCCGACGATGGTTCAATCAAGTTATGGGACCTGACTCTACGAACTTGTGTGCGCAATTTTGTCGGTCATGTCGCACAGGTCCAAAGCATGAAGTTGCTGCTCGCCGATGAGTGCGACGGCTCTTCGCAAGATTCTGATTCCGGTTCTGAAATACTCGAGGTCGATATGACGCCCCTCTCGTCCTCTCCGTCGACTCCCCCGCCCTTTGGTGAGCAGCAGCTGGATATTGTTCCGTCGTTGTCGCACAAATCAAAATCAAAGACGCCGGTCCTCATGTCTGGTAGTTTGGATAACACTATCAAGGTTTGGGACATAGAGACAGGAAAGACTGTCAAGACGTTTTTCGGTCATATTGAGGGCGTTTGGGGAGTTGCTGCCGACAAGATGCGATTGGTTAGTGCCAGTCATGATCGCACGATCAAGGTACGATGGTTCAGGTTCATCTTTGTACGTAATCTGACATGTGTTCATAGGTTTGGAATCGCGAAGACGGACGATGTATATCGACACTAGTCGGTCACGCTGGCGCCGTGAGCTGCATTGCTCTAGGAGAAGATAAACTCATCTCTGGAAGTGATGACCATAGCGTCAAAGTTTGGAGCTTCGCTTGAATACCCTTATAACCGCCTCCCGCATTTTCTCTTTTCGATTGTTGTACACATACCATTTTTTATTGCTATATAAGCTTCGTCATAATGTTTGGACAGTTTCTGTCGCCCCATTGATAGAACGTCGTATTGTATTGGCATTGTACTTGGATCATGCCGCAGAATGTATACATACATATGTGTACTGTGTCAGAATGTATGTAAAAATGTATGTAAAAAATGAGGCAAAAAAGCTTTAACCTGCCTAATATTTACTGGTGGCGGCGAGGTTCGAACTCGCGCGGCATTACGCCACTGGGACTTAAATCCAGCGCCTTAGACCACTCGGCCACGCCACCTGTTTTTCTTGCAGGATATTTTTTATGATACCACTTGACCTGCACAGCATTTCACCCACCTCGTGGGCGATACGGCTCCTCGATCTTTCAATGTTATCATGTATATCATACTTAGATTGATACTCCACCGCCTGCCCCCCACATCTGTATGAACTTGGCGGATGGCGCCCTATCCATCGGTGCTCTCTTAGAGGTCCGGTGCAGTCGCATCATTACTTCAAGTCCTGAAGGCTTCCGCCGCCTCGCTCAAACTTCAAGCCAACTTAGCCAAGTGACTTTGAGCCCTCCTTGAGCGACTCTGATTTGGGTCGACATAGAGACCAGGAAAGGAACATGTGGGTGGGGCCGGCCGATTTTACATGGGATCTTCTGAAAAGCTCCGAGCCAGAAATATGTACGCGGGTTCTATGAAATCAACACTCGATGATGAACCGCGAAAACTCAATCCATAATGCAATGCTTTCCGTTCTACACTCTAATCTTACCTAACTTTACCTCGCGTTTTTTTAGAACTCTCACACACCAACGGAAGCTACATAATGTAGGTGCTTCGTCAAAGAGCAACGGAATCGCGAACACGTATGCCTTCCCTCCTCACCTTGAACTAGTTGATGGCTACCCACTCCTTGGACCTCCCTAGTCTTCTAAGACTCTTGAATGGCGTCGAGATAGCCAAAAAAGTGGCTGTAGCAAGCTTTGCGTTGAACGTGTGGGACATCGTCACCACCCTCGATGAAGAGGTGAGCTAAATATCCTCAGCTTGGTGTCATGAAAATCACGAAAAGCTTCTGTTTTCCTTGCAGATCGCGTTCTTCTGGTCGGGCGGATGTCCAATGCTTTCCAGGTCATTGTTTCTAATCGTGAGTCTCACTTCTCTGCACTTGAACCTAACTTGGAAAATAATCGGCCTGCCTGTAGAACAGATATTTCCCCCCCCTCGTGACAATGTGAGTGAAACTGTTTGCAGCTTATTATGGTCAGTTACTAACTCATCGACAGAATTGCGCTGTACTGTGAGTATGAGGGACTACTCCAGTGATTATCGCCTAACTCACACGATCTTATCGAGGTTTTTTTGCCGTCAACCTCACTTCACAGGTGAGTCACCGCTATCAAAAGATTTTCCCGTCACCAACGGTCTCTTTCTAGTTGTAAGTCTACATGATCCGTACTTCATTTGACACGGGACTCAGACCAAAGAAGCTGCACTGCAGCAATAAAAGGGTGTTTTATGCTAAATGTCGTTGGGTTGTCAGCCGTTCAAGGTACGATAGTCGCAGATAGTTTACCCTGTGCCTTCTCAGCTTGAAACTCCCAGCGGTCCTGGTTGTTCGAATATGGTTCTTGTTCCAACATAGCCTATTCATACGGATTGTGGCCGTCCTGACTTTTGTCGTCGCTGCGTTACTTTCCGCGGTGTTTGTCGGACAAAGTTTTCCGCTTCTTATGTCCCAACCGTTGAATATACCCGGAATTCCTCAAGTCGGGTGTTCAATCCCTCCTCCACAAAGTCTCTGGCGACTGTTCCTACCTGCTCTTATACTCCATACTTTTCTTTTCATCCTGACTGCTCTGAGAGCCTTTCGCACACCGAAAGTTTTTCGCGATGCCCCCCTCATGCGGCGGCTGCTCCGAGAGTAAGTCGGACGCAACGGTTTTCCTTCCTAATCATTGGATTCCGAAGCTAATTATTTACCTTTAACGTAGCGGTGGGGTATTCTATTTTGTTGTTGTTGGTCAGTTCACGGTCAGAGATGCAAAATCGTAGTGTCTAACCCGTCCTCAGTCATTGTTGGATTTTGTGCCATCGGTGCATTTCTCGTGGACTCACCGGCGGTATGTGAGGATACTCGTACAACTATTCTAATCTAATTTGACTCAGGTGAATATCACCGCGATCTATTCAAAGTAAGTTGGCCTTCTTCGCTCCTGGACGTCTCCACTCATACTTGTATCATCCCTAGTATTATGTTGACCGTTACCTCCGTGGCGATTTCACGGCTGATGCTCAACATCCGTTCTCTGGCTGACCGACTCGGTTACGACGAGCAATGGATATTCAATAACGTGGAAATCAGCCGGCTCAACTGGAGGAAGGGTCCACGGGAGGGCGAGATTATTGTGGAAGTCCATGAACATCCTGAGTGCGATGTCACTACTGTTGACACACCACGAAGTCAACATGAAGAATTCATAGAGTGTGGGACCATCAGCAGTTCAACAGATGGGTGTTCCAAGCATTGCGATCGTTGGTCTGATAGCGGTGTACGGATTACTCGAGTTGGAGAACTTCCACATGATCATGAGCACGGTGGAATTACTCCCGTCAGGAGATGGTAACTTGAATGTGTGTGTGGATCTTCGTCGGTGTGGTGATTTCTCAAGCAAGTCTGTCGAATCTCATCTGTGTTTTGGTTTTACAGACTTCCATGTAGTAATACTCCTAGATGACGTTCTGATGAAATTGGGCCCAGTAGAGATCCTTTGTTGTTGACACTTGACCTGGCAAGCCATCAGTCATACGATGCATCGAACTGTCCAACCTCTCGTTGAATGAGTAGAACTAGCAAACTGTGACGGTTCAGACGACAGCTGGCGTGTGTCAGTACGACCCTCGTTTGCGGGTTGCCTGATTGAAACCTAGAAGCTTCGAGCTACAGTTTCCCAAGCGTGTATCGGATTGCACATCAGTTTCCGCCGTTCAATCTACAGGGTTGGTTGAGGGTGTTGATACAGGTCGTTTCAATACATAGCAAATGCGCAGACCTGTTCATCGCAGTAACGGTATGATGATACTTTGAGCGTCGGCAACTCGAATTAACTAGTTGCCTTCAGTCGAGTTTACTGAATTATTAGAACTTGCCAACCGCCAAGCTTGGTGGTAGGTAACGGCTGGCAAACTGCAGGTCAGTTGTAAAAATGTTGTCTTCTCCGGATCGACGGTTCCATATCTTTGATGAGCGCCGTGAGTTCCCTCGCCCTCCCTTCTCGACTGGGATCGACGCCAGGGCAGGCCCTATCTACATACCCACCTTTCTTTTCCGACATTTACTGAGGCTAGTCCTCCGGTCTTTTGTTTATTCAAAGTTTATCCTGCAGTTCGTTGACGCACGATGCTATCAGCCGACCAAGTAGAACAGTTGAAGCCGTCTTTGGAGGGAGTGGAAGCTGCTAGGATTGTTTCTATTGCTTTTTTCACACTTTCAGGTGCGCAGTTACCCACTATATCTCTTGCATAAACTCAAGACTTTCAAAGTATACGAGGTTGTCATCTTTCTCGATTCTCTCGGACAACCGAAACTGACAGAGTATTTTGACACGGTAGTGGTTAATCACTTTGGACCAAGAGGTGAGTCTGCTTCAATTAGCGAATAAACAACTAGTATAAAGCTCCGAGCATCACAAAGGTTAAATACTTCTGGTCCGGAAAATGGACGACTTCCCGAATCCTGTTCTTTCTCGTGCGTCGCGCTGTATCCGCACCTGGTTACAAGCTAATGGCCTAGTCGTCGCACAGAATCGATATGTTCCCATTATGATTATGACGTGAGTTTTGGTCTGTACGTTCGTTTGGAACACGTACTGAATAGTGGGATAGCTTCGCATTCTTCGGTCAGTTGTTGGTGACAACACAACACTCGGTTGATGTGCTCAGCTCTTTCACGTTGTAGCTCTGGAGCTCCCTAATCCATCGGAGAAAGTCAGTCCTCATTCAATTTTCTTTTTTCATTGACTGAAGCCCAACATCCATGACTTTCTGCTGTTACAGTTGTGAGTTGTATCCGAGTTCCTCGCAGGATTATTAATTCCGTTGTTTTTTTTCGCGTTTTCTAGTTGTCTTCTCTCTATTCAAAGCTCGATGTTCCTCAACATCCTCGCCATCGGAATTATCCAGGCAATGCTCGTCTACCGGGTTTGGCACCTTTTTGGCAACGATAGATGCGTTCAATGGGGCATAGTAGGGGCGTTCACCTGCTCTATCTTCTTCTCGCTCTTCTTCACTATCATTGTCTTGGCGGATTTGAAAATTCTGGTTGTGTTCAGGCTTCCGAATAGTCCTGGTTGTAGGGCTGCGCGGCCTCCCATGTATTGGAGGATTTACCTCCCGTCCCTCGTTCTTCACGTGAGCCAATTTTGTTGCCACCTCATTTATTCTACTTTGCACTTACAGTTTCTGTCCTTAGTCTATCCTCTACATACTGACTGCTATCCGAGCGTTGAGGAACCGACAAATTTTCAAAGAGGCACCGATTCTTAAACGTCTGCTCCGAGAGTGAGATCTACCGTTCACCTGAAAGCCTGATATCTGGAACTGATTCTCCAATGAGATAGTGGTGGACTGTTTTTGTTTGTGGTTTTTGGTACGTCTGTTCAGCTCCGGTTCAAGATTGTTAAGAGACACTCAACGGCGAGGCTCTAGCTTCCGTGGGGTTCACTTCTGTTGGTGCGTTTTTGAAGGACAGTGTTCAGGTGCATCTCCTCCACTCTTTGTGATTTTGAGAATAGATCTGACGGCTCTTGCAGATCAATGTGGTCGTTTTCTTCTCCAAGTATGGTTCAACAGACCACGTTTCTGTAATCCTTAGTTGACCCAGACTTCCCAGCTACTTGCTCGCCACCACTTCCATAGCGATGAGCCGTGTCATGTTTAGTTTGCACTCCTTGGCATCCCACTTGGGCTCGGACGCCGGTTGGCTACTAAATAATGTTGAGCTCCGTCGTACGGACTGGCGACGCGGTTCTCGTGAAGGGGAAATAATCATCGATCGCTGGACTGACGAAGACGAGAGCATTTACGAGACGGAACGATCGGAATCCAAACTTCAAATGAGTAGGATTGGGATTTACGGAGACCTGCCATGGGACCATGTCCAGAAACATAACGATGTGAAGGCTTGTGAGTGTATCTCGCTCTAGTCCTTTGACGATATTTAAGAAATCGTTCAACAGATGTATAAGCTTCCTCCATGACGCGCTGTAAATTCTCTTAGGTCCTTTAC